ACGCAGATTGCGTGGATGCGTGGCGGGTCATCCGTGTTGGCACGTACGTCACTCGTCGCACTCACGTGACGTAAGTGTGGAAGGGTGACTCATCTGAGTAACACACGTTCCTAAGTGCATCAGCTAGATTCGGATCGGTCGGGTATATCATTATCAGTAGAAATGAACCCGTATTACGTGTATCATAGCTTCAGGCCGAGCGGAATTATACGAAGTGGATAACAGATTCAACATTTCGCCAAACGCCAGCGAAAGTCGCAATTTCGTGTAAAATGCGCGACCGATTGCGTATAAAGTCGTCAAGAGCGAGGTGTTAAACATGTCTTCTACCAGACATATGAATATTGCTTCAATTTACTCGAGAGTATGTGAAATTATGTGAAACAAGGCAGCGCGTGAGACAATTCGAAAACTCGAAAGTTCTGTACTGAGACACGAGCTAGCTATCCTCCGATCTGAACACATGAAATAACTCAATTGAATTACATAAATTTCGAACAATACGTAATATGTGTTGCATTTCAACGCATAATCTCGTTTGGTAAATCCTGCAACACAAGTACTCATTGAGGATGAGTACTTAAGAGGGGCTACTTGCCTGTCGCCCATGGCCTTCCGAGATGCCATGCAACTTCCACGGTGCAAGCAGTGCTTGCCAGGCACGAAACACGGTGCGATGAGTTATTGGAGGTGCGAAAAAGTGCGGCAGATTTCTGGCCCAGAACTTCCCAATATCTTCCAAATTTGTTGACAAACTGTATATCATATAAGTCGTCAGATAGGTGACCTACCTATCATAGGTTCGTGATTCAAGCTCGCGTCGCATCGCTTCGCTTCTTTCGGTCAGGAGCAGGTTCTCAAGCTCCTCAATAGTGTCGAATCATCGAAGGTGTGTTGGAGTCGATGTGAGAGACGACGATTAGCAGTGATTGCAGACAGTAATATTATTGAGGATCCTATCATCTCTTATACGCTTCACCAAGCTGAAATCATCCCACACCTTGTTTTCACTATTGAGCTTGCAACCAGCTAGCGCATACGCGACGATGTCCAACCCTTGCCCCATCTGCGGATCACAATCGTCCTTTTTGGCGGACGCAGAGGCCGATGCAGTCTGCATCATGTAGATAGTTTACGGATCTTGCGACTCGTACTCCCTCCGGTAGACAAAACCCTCTCCTTCACCGTGGTATTGCCACCGCAAACAGGAGTCTGAGATGGCTGTGTGAGGCGTCTTGCTGGCGGAATCTGGGGATGGATAACATCCTCGTTGCCTCCAGAGGGCAGATCCTCCGCAAGCAGCACCCTCGATGAGGTGCTAGCTGACATGGAAGTGTTAGCCGCGTACAGGCCGGTGCCTTCTGATGATGGACGGCAAGGAATCGACATACTACTCAGCTGATTCGCTGGTTATTCTGACGTAGGGTGTCCAAGCACCACATTTTCAAGTTCAACATAAGACACCGAGGTCTAGTTCCTTCACGTTGGCAGACCTCGTTTCCTGAAGAAGAACTCGAAACCATTCTAAATCTTGGAATCTTAGAGTTACTCTAATAGAGTAGCGATGACTTCACGGGATTTATTCATCGACTCTTAGGGTAAGAGTCTTACCTAAAATATTTTGATTTTGACTCAATATTGTAGTTCATCAACGGGGGCATATTCTCATGCGCGCCCCTAATTCTGCCGCCCCGCCCCTAATCCTTTCGCTCCGCCCTAAAATTTTATAAAATGCCCTTATATTAATACAATGCCCCTAAGTCAAAACAAAAAGCTAAAGCCGCCTGCGGCGCAGCATATCCTCATGACTTTGGAAACTCGAGGATAGTCAAATCAATAGGATGCACAAATAGTCAGTTTCCACATCATTTCTTTGTCACTTGGTCGGAACAGTCAACTCCGTATGCATTGAGGAAATGTAAGGGAGCAAGCTCTTGTAAGGGCACCGAGTCAGCCGATGTGGAGGTTTTGAAGTGGAAAAAGGGTGTCGTTCGGGTAGCCTAAAGGCTGTCGTTCGAACATCATATCCGTGGCTATTCCCATACAGTTCAAGTATACACCCAGATTCTGTGAACTATAGAGTGGGGGAGCGTGGACGGAATTTGACCGTCAATATCAACGATTGCTGAACTTCAGTGTCTCGAATATCATATCCGTGGCTATTCTGATAAAGTTCAAGTATACACCCAGATTCTGTCAACTATAGAGTGGGGGAGCGTGGACGGAATTTGACCGTCAATATCAACGATTGCTGAACTTCAGTGTCTCGAACATCATATCCGTGGCTATTCCCATACAGTTCAAGTATACACCCAGATTCTGTGAACTATAGAGTGGGGGAGCGTGGACGGAATTTGACCGTCAATATCAACGATTGCTGAACTTCAGTGTCTCGAATATCATATCCGTGGCTATTCTGATAAAGTTCAAGTATACACCCAGATTCTGTGAACTATAGAGTGGGGGAGCCCTGACGGAATTTGACCGTCAATATCAACGATTGCTGAACTTCAGTGTCTCGAACATCATATCCGTGGCTATCCTGATAAAGTTCAAGTATACACCCAGATTCTGTGAACTATAGAGTGGGGGAGCGTGGACGGAATTTGACCGTCAATGTCAATGATTGCTGAACTTCGGTGTCTCGAATATCATATCCGTGGCTATCCTGATAAAGTTCAAGTATACACCCAGATTCTGTGAACTATAGAGTGGGGGAGCGTGGACGGAATTTGACCGTCAATGTCAATGATTGCTGAACTTCGGTGTCTCGAATATCATATCCGTGGCTATTCCCATACAGTTCAAGTATACACCCAGATTCTGTGAACTATAGAGTGGGGGAGCGTGGACGGAATTTGACCGTCAATATCAACGATTGCTGAACATCAGTGTCTCGAATATCATATCCGTGGCTATTCTGATACAGTCAAAGTATACACCCAGATTCTGTGAACTATAGAGTGGGGGGGGGCGTGGACGGAATTCGACCATCAATATCAACCATTGCTGAACTTCGGTGTCTCGAATATCCTATCCGTGACTATTCTGATACAGTTCAAGTATACACCCAGATTCTGTGAACTGGGGGAGCGTGGACGGAATTTGACCGTCAATATCAACGATTGCTGAACTTCAGTGTCTCGAATATCATATCCGTGGCTATTCCCATACAGTTCAAGTATACACCCAGATTCTGTGAACTGGGGGAGCGTGGACGGAATTTGACCGTCAATATCAACGATTGCTGAACTTCAGTGTCTCGAATATCATATCCGTGGCTATTCCCATACAGTTCAAGTATACACCCAGATTCTGTCAACTATAGAGTGGGGGAGCGTGGACGGAATTTGACCGTCAATATCAACGATTGCTGAACTTCAGTGTCTCGAACATCATATCCGTGGCTATTCCCATACAGTTCAAGTATACACCCAGATTCTGTGAACTATAGAGTGGGGGAGCGTGGACGGAATTTGACCGTCAATATCAACGATTGCTGAACTTCAGTGTCTCGAATATCATATCCGTGGCTATTCTGATAAAGTTCAAGTATACACCCAGATTCTGTGAACTATAGAGTGGGGGAGCCCTGACGGAATTTGACCGTCAATATCAACGATTGCTGAACTTCAGTGTCTCGAACATCATATCCGTGGCTATCCTGATAAAGTTCAAGTATACACCCAGATTCTGTGAACTATAGAGTGGGGGAGCGTGGACGGAATTTGACCGTCAATGTCAATGATTGCTGAACTTCGGTGTCTCGAATATCATATCCGTGGCTATCCTGATAAAGTTCAAGTATACACCCAGATTCTGTGAACTATAGAGTGGGGGAGCGTGGACGGAATTTGACCGTCAATGTCAATGATTGCTGAACTTCGGTGTCTCGAATATCATATCCGTGGCTATTCCCATACAGTTCAAGTATACACCCAGATTCTGTGAACTATAGAGTGGGGGAGCGTGGACGGAATTTGACCGTCAATATCAACGATTGCTGAACATCAGTGTCTCGAATATCATAT